TTAACTTAGTCTTTTCTTTTCCTATATCTAAATCATTGTATTCCTTGGATACTTAACATAGAAATTACTCCGTACTTTTGTTGTAACAAAACTAAATAATAATTCATAATCTGGTATACAGCAGAGCAGAAATATAAGTACAACACCATAGCAACTGAAGATATTGATGATAATCTGATGAATAGCTTGTCTTTTGTAAAATAAACCTATTAATTTTCGAGTTCTGATAATTTGTCTCAGAAAATCTAGAAGCAAAGAACAAAATCGCATGGATTATTATTAGTCAAAAGTACCTGAACAATAAGATCATGCAGAAGCTTCTTATAGCTATGGTGGTTGCTAACATGTAAGATCTCCTTTGCTGCTGTTTCCTCCATGGAGCTAATCAAGTCATCCTGAGCTTGAAGAACTTTGATCCGAGAGGCATTGAGTTGCATGGAGTACTCTCTGCAAGAAATGCATAACAAAAGAAAGTCAAAGACTATGTTGGCCCAATAAAGTTGAAATTAGATAATGTTTTTGAAAAGTAATTTAACAGGATTTGGTCAACTTCAAAACGGACATCACTATGAAATCAAATGTCATTTAACCGTGTGGCTAATTTGAAAATAAAAGAAGGAAACAAGATTAACACACACAGTAATATGTTCAAATTCGGTTTGAAATCACTTTGTCCTACATGAATTGATGTTAAACATAAAGATATTATTGCTGAAAGCAGAAACAGAATGAGTTGCAAACATTGAATCCTAAATATCCAGTAAATGATAGTGGTAATCAGTTAACGTGTACGCAATTCTTTTATCTAGTCGACACTATGGAACACAAAGAATGTGTGATTCAGACTTGATTTTAAGTCTAAAAGTGAAAATTTCAAGTGCAATTAAAAATTATATTGTTTCGGATGAATACAAAGTCGTCATGCCAAATCAAAAGTTATCTATTGTAGTTGATAGTATAACATCTTTTGAATATCTTCTATTAACCTCATTTTACTATCATTTGATAAGCAATATGTGGAAGCAAAATGTCAAATTCTCACGCGGAGTTTTGAACTTTAACTCTTCTTCTATAAAGAGCAACATTTATAAACAAAATCTTCGAAAAATCTCAAATTTAATCACAGTCACAAATCAGAGCAAAATAGAAAAATCACATTTTCTTACGAACGTCAACTTGTTTCTCTTTACGCTCGTATTCCAGTCTAATCTTCTTCTTCTCCGCTTCCACTAACTGCAACTTCTCAATGTTGAATTCCTAACAAACAAAAACCACAGCCAATGCATAACACATGAGATAAAATTCAACTAAATTCACTTCTAAATTCAAAATTAGAACATGATTTTCATACTTCTTCAGCGGAAACAGAAATCTCATTGGCCTTCTCCTCCGCTTCTTGGCGGATGAATCTGACCATCTGATGGATCTGCTTGGACACATCTCCGTCGTTCATTTTGAGATCGGGAAGGATCGAACGGCAAAACGAATTGATTTAATCGAAAGCTCCGATCTTCGTTTTCCGATGAAATGGAGATTTTTGGATGAGCAAACTCCGATAATTTGTATGTGTAGTCTTATGCCACTTACGCATGGGAATATAATAAGCCAATTTTGTTCCTTCAAATATAAAGTTATGTACTTTTTATCCCTTAAATTTGCTAAAGTGGAACACTTCTAATCCAACTAACATTATGAAACGTAAAAATCGATCGACTTTCTAAATAATCGAAAAAATATAACTTGATTCGAAATGTTTTTTTTAATAATAAGTAAAAAGAGAAATTGAGTTTTGCCTCTACGTAGAAGTGGTAAAAATTGAATCAAATCAAAATTTATTGTACTAAAACTTAATTTATAGTATCAGATTGGTATCTACTTTAAATTATTGAAACTAAATTTTTGAAATAATAAACTAAATTTTGAACATACACAATAATAAATTATTTATCATTTTATATAATCCCAAATTACATTAAAAAGTAATTTGAATGTCTTGATTGACTTGTAACGTTAAATTCATAATGATAGAGTTCAAGTGGAAGTCTAATGTTTATATCGAATTTCTCTTAAAGCTAACATAACAAATATTGGACAAAATATGAACATGCCTTGTCAAAATATATTTTTTTAATGAGTAATTACTGAATTATCGTATATCGTACCAAAATTTTATTTTATAAACCAAACTTTGAAAGTTTGATGTTCAATATCTATTTTCAATTATCAATTATAAATATTGAACGCTCACACTTGATAATTTGTTTACCATATATATGGGCGACATTAACGAGTATTTGGATTTTGATGATTCACATGTGACTTCAAATTCATAATGTTACGGTTTGAGAGTGTATATTTAAAAGATAACATGTTTTGAAAGTTTGGTATTTGATATCTATTTTCAATTATCGATTATAGAAATTGAATTTTAAAAATATCGAACCAAGCAACATTCACCTTAATAAATTATTTACCATATGTATGGATAACATTTACAAGTGATTTGGAAGTTTTAATTTGTCATGTGACGCTAAATTTGTAGTTCTAGGGTTTGAGAGTAGAGATCTAACTTTTGTATCTAATTTCTCTAAAAGCTAACATGTCAAATGTTCGACAAATTATGAATATATCATGTCAAAATATCCTCTCTTTTTTTATAAGTAAGTCTTGAACTATCCTAACAAAATTTATTTAGTACGATTCAATATTTTTTTGATTTCTCTTTATAAAATTAAAAATCTACTTAACTATCTGTTACAATTATTTTCATATCAAAACCTATGATTTTTTGTAAAGAAAAGAAAATTTACTTTTACTCATTTTTAACGAATTTGTCTTTCCATAAAAAATAATTTCCAAAAATATATTAAACTACCACATATGAGAAAATTGGTAATACATTATATAGGAAAATATTTCCTCCACACCAGACACATCCATAATGTAACAATGCTTAGCTCCGACTTGAGTGTAGATTTTTAAATTGAAACTTGAAATTGAAAATTTTGAATTTTAATTTTTGAAACTTAAATGGTCAAGCAAATATTTAATGATAAAATATGAAAATCTAATTCAAAATTTATAGCTTTGTTGACCTTGACTCACCCAAACATTGGACACTTGTCACTTGATCCTGCTTCATCAAACGAGTATGTGAATGACCCACTTAATTGCATGAATAATTTCATGAATGGTAATTCAATTTTTGGAAAAATCCTACTAAGTTCATTTTTGTTATATTTTGGACAATAAAGTCACTCAATTTAGGGAATATCTCATCGGAGTCACTTTTGTTTTTAAGACAATAAAATCACCAAACTATTGTCTTTTTGACTTAGACATTACATGACACATATTTGACATATTATATCATATCAATTTCATTTTTAAATAACATAATGCATTTATCTAATGACAGTAATGAATTGTATTTAGTTTGGTTCAATTTTAATAATTTAAGATTTGACTTAGTTTTGATTTTATCCTAAAAATCGATTCAAACCAAATCATGGACATCCATAGTTTCTTGGTTTTAGGAAAAAATATTGAACGCCTACTTCTTTTTTGAAAGCGCTTACTTATATGCCAAAAAAAAAAAAGAGTCTAGTTTATGTTATAGGATGAATAGAGGACACATAGTTTAAAAGCTCTAGTTAATAGCACTTGACTACAATCACCGATTGAGCTCGAGGCTGATTGGTCTCATGCAAGGGAACTATTGTGAGTGCACCCTAGCTGCAAAGTAAGATGTTGTGGAGGACAATGATGTTGTAAGGTGAGCATCATTGGTCAACATATCACAAAGTGGTTCTGGATATACGAAGCTTTACAGTTTCCTTGGGTATGTGTGTGGGCCTTACACTTAGCTTGAGTAGGACAACATCCGATCCTTAGCCTTGGTCATGTGGGCCTTCTATAATATGCCTTCAACTTTCAGAAAAGTGTGAATTATATAGGGGCTTTCTTGAATTAGTATGAAAATTCGTTTCATGCGGATTTTCATACTAATTTTCGGAAAATTCCCATATATATAATTCACAATTTTATTATTGTTATGGCATTTCAAAACAAAACTCACATATTTGTACATATATCTCGGATAGCGCACACCACAAATGCACATCTAAGACAATAGACCCTTGCTCGCATAGACGAACACAAGTCAATTAACGATGATTTGAAGAGAACCCATTGATAGCTCAATAGACATAGAGGCTTATCAGGGGCGTAGCTATCCTTTGGATAGGGTGTCCAATTGTACACCCTTTGTCAGAAAATTACATTATATTTTATAAGACAAATAATAATTTAAATAGTTAAATAACACATTTTCGACACCCTGAAAACAATAAAATTTTCTAGTTTAGTGTTTTCAGTCGTTCAACTCTTACTAAGTCTTTACAACTTGCCGGGTTCGATTCCCGTTAAATGACTTCGATTTTTTTTTCCTTTCATTAAAAATTTAAAAGAATTATTTAATTTAAAGTTAATAAGAAAATTCTATTTATTTATTCCATTAAGCTACTAAAAGTGAAAATACTTTATATAAATTCTCTTTTAATATAACTAGTTTAATTCTATTATTTATTTTTCATTTCTCGTTGTTAGTCATCAGAGTTTTGTGAAATGTTGAAGCGTAAAAGTGATTTCACTCTAAGCTGAAATATCTCTCTTTTTGTTTGTTTGTTCACTTCCTATCAAATAAACGTGAACACTAAAGCTAAATATTATGTAATTTGATTTTAAAATTTTTTAGTACAGTTTAATTAAAAAAATTAATCACCAATGTTATGTAATTTGATTTACAAAATTTAAGTACACCCATTCTTTTAATTATTTTTATGAACTATGAAATTTTTGAACACCCTTCGTACAATTTTCTAGCTATGCCAGTGGATCCTATTCCATCACAAGACTTCACTACTTGTTCGATACCCAACATTGGCACTAACAATAATTAAGGGATCTACCTGTCACATCTTCAAAGTACTAGGGGGTTCTAAGTGAAAATTACCTCTCACTGATACGTTACAGATCAAAAGCACTTTCTCATTTTTCTTTCACTGCTATATATATAAATGAAAATGGAGTCGTAATTGTTTCTTCACCAGTTCCAGAATTCTGAATTGCAGTATCGTAGGGCTTAGGAGGATCTCTGAGGTAAAGTTGCTTCTCATTTCTTCTTCAGTTGTGCTTTTTATGGTGTGTGATTATCTTCCTGTATGTGTAAATTTGTGCATTTGGAGTTGATCTAGGGTTTTGTTTTATGTTAAGTTAGGGATTTGGTCTGCTATGGCATCCAAGCGGATTCTCAAGGAGCTTAAGGATCTCCAGAAAGATCCTCCTACCTCTTGCAGTGCTGGTACCTTTTTCTTCTCCTTATACTTTTAACTATTTTTTTCTAAAAAATTCTGGTACTGTTCGTGCTGGTTTTGTTGAGATTGTAGGTTTGTTACTTTTTTTTTTCGTTTTTCTGTATCTGAACAGATCTTCTCTAAAAGTTATCGTTTTGATTGCTCAGCTTCATGATTAAATGGTTAACATTTCTAGTTTGGGAAAGTGTATAGAGTTGAAGCTGTTTTTAGTAGTTTTACTAGTTTTAATGTATGTGTGTTGCTGGTGAATTCTGTAGTATATTAATAAAAGAATCGTATGTATAAAAATATATAAATTTTGTGTTATAAGAATTGACGTTGAGATAAATGCAACATTCATTTGAATTACGAAGTAAAATTGGGTTGATGCAATAGTTGAATTCAATGTAATTAGGTGTCTGCTCAACCTGCAAATAATAATAATTTAGGTTAAGTTGAATTTTGGGGAAGAATACATTCTTGAAAGCATTTTGGGCATTTGGTTATCTTCATCAAGTCAAAAAAAAGCTAACAAATTTATAAAGAAATAGATTTAAAAGAAACTTTCAATTGATGAAGACTTTCTAAATGATATAGTTTAGGCATAGGATCTGATTAAACAACTAAACTATTTTTTTTATAAAGATTAAACTTTAATGTTAAACCCTAAAAGGAGTTCAGGGAACTCAAAAAGTTCTTTAATGTGATTTCTCCTGTGTTATAACAAAAAGAAGACTTCAAAACCTAAATGAAGTTTCAAGTACTTGAATTTTGACCTAAAACATTTAATAGGGAATTAATTGGTTAAAATTTAATGACAAATAAAACAATTCCTATACCTAAATGAGTTCAAAGTGCTTGAAAGTTCCCTAATGTGATTTTTCTTCTGGTTTAATATCACTGGAACTTAAAAAAGTGTCAGATTCTTCTCTGATATTCTTTAAGCAAATTCTGCAGATCATTATTTCGGCGAAAATCTTAGGTCACATCAAACTCATTACTAGTAAAAGAGAAGGTCTGATTAAGTGTATAGATTATATGTCAAATGTAATTGAACTCCTAAACCTTAAAGAAGTTGCAAGTACATGAAATTTTGACCTAAAACATTTAATATAGAATTAATTGGTTAAAATTTAATAACAAATAAAACTACTCCTAAACCTAAAGGAGTTCAAAGTGCTTAAAAGTTCCCAGTATGATTTTTTAGAACTTAAGAAGTGACAAATTCTTCTATAATCTTCTTTCTACATATTCTCTAGATCATTATTTCGGCCAAAATCTTAAATCAAATAAACTTTGGAAATTTTAAAGAGAATATCTGAGTAGGTGTATATATTATGTGTCGATGTAATTTTATATGCTGGGATTCGATGTGTTTTTGAAGATAGAATTGTGTTGAATGTATTAGCATTTATCATGTCACCTTGGATTGAAGAAGTTACTGACTAATAGTTCAATTATAAAGGAGATACCTCTCTTACACTATTTCAATATACACCTAAATACTTAGCAATTTAAAAGTGAAGGAAGTTTAACAAAAGAATATCAACAACAAACAGTTAATGTCCACCACTCATCTACAAACACACCACTTAAGATAGGATAAACACAACGTAAGTGTTAATTGTGAATTGTGATTATTAATTTTAGCTGATTTTGTAGTCTTAGATATTAGGGAAATATTAATGACTATTTTGTGTGAACTCTTTTTTAAAAGAGTATAAAAAGCGAACAACAATTTATCTAGGGGCTTCGTGCTGTTAGTATAATATAGATATATATTATTAGTAACCCATAAATCATTTCTACTTAGTACCACACTTGGGGTTCACATCAGGATTTGAACTCATGACATGCACCTACCACACATATCGCGCCATATTATTCAGTGAACCAAAGCCTGTTCTGCTTGCACATGATTGCATTAATTCAATTGTTTTCTTGATTTTTTTCCCCCCTTTGTCTTTGGGAGGGGAGAGGGAACATCAGGTCATACTCTGTTTGCATGCTTTGAGCTTGTATGGTGTTTAATGGGCTGCAAATGAGAGTCTTGGTAGAACTAGCTCATCCCAAAATAGATCCTAACGAGATGGGTAAAATCAAAGAGAAATCTTGAGTTTGATAGCAGGTCAAATGGATTGGTATTCAGCATCGGCTTGGAAAATAAAATCAATTAGCATTATTTTGAGGGGAAAACTCCACAAACTATGTGTAATTAGTCATTTCTACTCTCTGTTAAAAGTCCCTTCATTTTTTTGACAGCTGCTATTCTAGGAAGATACAACTACAACCACAACCACAACAACATACCTAGTACTATTCTAGGAAGAATCTTACTGGAAAAAAAATAAGAAAAAACTATGGAGACTCTAGGACTTTAAGTAGAGCCTCAGGCCCTCATTAACATCTGCAAAGCTGTTCTCCGATTCTTGTGTTTTGTTAAATCTGCTGCTTGTATTGTGAGTTACTGAAGAAACTTATTTAAAGGTCTGCATGTGGCGCAAGTTGTTCTCTCATTTCTTGTGTGCTTATGTTATCTGTATTAGGCCCAGTAGCTGAAGATATGTTCCATTGGCAAGCAACAATCATGGGTCCAGCTGACAGTCCCTATTCTGGTGGAGTGTTTCTTGTTACTATTCATTTTCCACCTGACTATCCATTCAAGCCACCAAAGGTATGAAATTAGGGATGTGTATTGTTGATGACACTTGATGATCAACTTGTTTGTTTGCTTATTAACATGATATTTCTGAAACTTCTCTTGCTTCTTTTATAAAATCAAATTTGTATCATTTCTAGACTTGTAATTTTACTGTAACAACTGGATTGAAGCTTCTTTGTTCATTTTATTAACTTTATTAGGTAAGCGTAGATATGAAATCTCAACTCAACTTGTGTCAACTGTTGATTGTGATCCTTTTCCTTTCCTATACAAAGTCACAACTCACATTTGTAAATTGCCTTCAATGAATTTTGAATTCTGGGTGTTTGACACCATCATATGTAATCTAGCCGATTTTAGAAACCATGTCATCAGGTCCGTTAGATTTTAATCTTGTTAGTTTTTCCCCCCAAAAAACTATGAGCAGCAATAGCTCATTACAAGATTTAAGCAGGCAGATCACACTATATTTGAGAAGATGATGCTACATATGAAAGTACTTGAGTTCAACTTTAGTTCTGTCGCTTGTCCCATGCCCTGTGATTACAGTTTCAAATGGATATATGTCTCCTGTTTGGTGGACTGAGCTTCGATGATAAGGAAGCCATGGTAAAAGGCTGTGAATTACTATCATTGGCAGAGTGCATTCTGTTAATGCAGTTCATGAAGGTCTAGTACCGAGTCTTGTTGTTATTTCAGAAACTGTTCTGCAACACTTGCTAAGTTACTAATGCATAGGAATCTAGTCTATTATCAGCAAGAGGGTATTTTTTCCACTTGTTTATTTCAACCAAGTGGTACGCCTGATCTAAGGTAGGAAGAGTATATCATATTGTGCAAATTGAAGAAGTATGGCTTAGATTTTTCTTTTAGTCAAGGCTTGGTGCATTGACAAACCATGAGATTTTGGAATCTCGGTACTCCTTTCTTATAGGTGTATTAGCAACTTAAATGCAAGTTTTGCACATTGCTTGAGAATCACATAAAAGAATTTCTCTTCACATCTTTTTAACTGTGACATAATATGTTTCAAGATCTATTTGCCAAAGCACGTAAGTTAAAAGAACTTCTATGCGCAAAATCAATGAGGATGTGATGTCACTTCCCCACCTGATGTTGTTCTGCTACCTCCTTTACTTCTAAATTTTTTTTCCCCTGTCAGCAAATATCTCATCGTCATTTCATGGAATAACTGTGCAGGTAGCTTTCAGGACAAAGGTTTTCCACCCGAACATCAATAGCAATGGCAGCATTTGCCTTGACATTTTGAAGGAACAGTGGAGCCCTGCACTTACCATCTCCAAGGTTAGTTGAATTTCTTGGTATAGGTTACCAGCCTTACCACACATCGATCTTTTTATTTTGGTTATTTACATCTTGAAAAAGTAAATTTGAACTATTTTACCAGTCTCATAATTCATCAACCCTTGCAGGTACTGCTCTCTATCTGTTCTCTGCTGACAGACCCTAATCCCGATGACCCTTTGGTGCCGGAGATTGCTCATATGTACAAAACTGATAGGAGCAAGTATGAGACAACTGCCCGGAGCTGGACTCAAAAATTTGCCATGGGATAGTTGCTGTGACCATCTCTGTCCCTGCTGTGGTATTTTGTATTATCTATCGAATAGTTGCTGTGACCATCGGGGTCTGATTCCCTGCTGTGGTATTTAGTAGTTTATATATTATGTATTATGAAATTGTGTTCTTATGCATAATCAAAACTTAAAAGGCGGGAAAGTCGAACAGGTTCGTCGTGAAACAATTTGATTTTCTCTTTGCTTGCAAGAATGTTATCAGTTATGGTGTTAAAACTCTTATGTTGGGTTCAAAGTATGCATTTTAACCCTTTGCATCTGCACTTTAGTTATCACTTGCCTGCACATCATTCTCAAACTTCTATGCAGAAGTTTATTTCAAGGGTAGAACTTCGCTTATGAAACTTATTTTCCGAAGTCATTTTCCTCCCATGAAGATGTTTTTCAAAAATTTTGTGCCACTAATTGTGAGAAAATCGTAGTTGGTCAAAATATTTTGAAAAATATTTTTTTGGGAACACAAGTAAACTAAAAATAAGGAAATGACTCTCCTGGCGAGAGAAGGAAAAACAAGTTTCATAAGTGATTTTTCTCGTCTTCTCCAATAGCGCACTCTTCACCTTTGTGGTGTTTTTCTTACATTTAATTGTTCTTGAGACGATATAGTTTTGCTCACTCAGAAAATAAGTTAGAAATTCACTTATAAGAAATTTTTCTTGAGAACACTACCCTTCAAACTAAACACACTAGACTCGTCTCATCAAATTTCTCTATTTTTATTCCATTTATATCTCTCTCCTTAATTCTCTCTGTTTTATCCTTTTCATCCATCTACTTCAAATTGATATACTATCAAAATATATTATTCCATACATTTTATAAGTATTCGTTAGTTGAATATGATTATGGATACCAATTTCAACTCAATTGTGATACACATAATATCATACATTATATGTATAACTAACATAATGTATCTCAAATAAGTAGGTGCTATACGTACAAATCAAATTGAAACTTCATAAAGAATAGTCTGGATCTTATTTTCAATTTTGGCTATATTTGAATAAAATTTAAAGATGATATTTTCTTTAGCAAAATCTTTTGACGTGAGAAAACTAAAAATTACACGAAAGTATGATGAAAGTTTAAGTAGTTGAAATTTTTTATAGCATAATTGATTGATTATAAGATTTTTTTTTATTTTGTTGATGATGATTTAACTACTTACTTTTCGATGTATATATATAATAATAGAAACAAAAAGTATATTACTCTTAAAATCTATACCTATTATTTCTCTTTGTTTTTACTTTGAAATGAAAATCATGAGTTTGTGTTAATTTGCAGAGTGTTGTAATATCAATTGTTATTTTTTTCTACCTCTGGTTGTTTATTTTTCTTTTTCTTTTATGTTTGGCCCGATTGTTCTCGTTACTTGTGTGCGCACTGAAGAGATAGAAATATATTCTAATATCACAAAATATTAACAAAAATTGCCCGTCTAGCTCAGTTGGTAGAGCGCAAGGCTCTTAACCTTGTGGTCGTGGGTTCGAGCCCCACGGTGGGCGTTCTTGAAACTTTTTTCCGTGAGAAATTTCGCAATGACTTTCTAATTTTGTTTTGATGTATTGTTCGAAATTTATATTAACCTTTTTTTCATGAGGATAATTTTATAATGACTTTTTAATTTTGTTTTGGCCTCCTGTCCGATATTTACATCGCCTTCTTTAATGTTGAAATTTCAGTTTTGTATTTGAGCTCCTTTTCAATAACGATAACATTGCCAAAATGTTATACTATCACAACTCTATATAAACACTTACTATATCATTTATTCAATTTGAATAATCTAATTAAAAGTAAGAATGTCAATCAGATCAAAACTCAATCAAATAAGCAAAATAAATTTAATCAGTACTATTTGTGATTTAATTGTATCGAGTTAATAAATCCAATCCAATCCATTTGTTAAGCCTACTAAATGTCATAACTAACATATTCCTTCGACATTACACATTTTAATGAAAATTTATCTAATCTTAAATATTTTCTTTTTCAAAAATAATATACTTCCTATACAAAATTTTAAACCATATCTTTTAACTGATACCTTATCTAATATGATTTGAAATCGCATTGTTACTTCAAATCCAATGTAAGTGATATAACTTACCCAACGTAATCTATAACCCAACCATGAACCAGCTGCATAATTCGTCAATCAGTCGAATTTAGTGTCGAAAGTTTAGATAAACAACTAACGGATAAATTATAATTCGGGTAACAAAATAAAATATATTCCTAAATATAAACATTATAATATGAAAAAGTTCTAGAATTTTCTAAAACCATCATTGAAACATTCTTGAAGAAGAAGAAAAAATGCCCACTGTTTTCTGTAAGTAAAAAAAAAGAAAAACAAACAGTGGGCAACAGATTACAGAATTTCAATCTTCATACTTAAAAATTCACAATTCCCAAATTCCATAAACCCTAATTCACAAAATCCTCAAGCTTTTTCATGGATGCCCCGGAAAGTCTTCAACCTGTTTGTGGGCAAGAAGCACTTGATCTCCTAAATTGCACCACTGAATCGCCTTACGATAAGGAGAAATGCCAAAAGTTGCTTGAAACTTTGCGCCAATGCGTAATCAACAAGGTAATCATCTAATTTTTTTTTCTAGTGTGTTTTTGGTAGCTGTTGAATTTTTGCTCCATTTGAGTTTTGATTTTTGCATTTTTGCACCTTTATGTGGTTGATAACTAGATAGTCTAGGTAGATGAACTATGATTAAGGGTTTAGAGAAAAAAAAAGCTTTTTTTCCTGAACCAGATTGAGTTAGAAGTACTCTAGGGACGGAGGCAGAGCCAACGGCGAATCTGGGATTTGTAGAACATGACTCTCAAAAAGAAAGGGAACTATGCATTGAGTGTGAATTGATTCGTAGTCCTCTGGGTACATAAATTAACATAATTAGCCGTTTTTGTAGCACTGGGAGTCAACGGATAATATTGTACCACTTTTTAGAAAATATATACATAAAGTACCTGGTTTACAGAGAGACTACGGTTCAGACCTCATTTTTGAGGCAATAAATTTGCCCCTGGTGTGTGTTTGTGTGTTGGTGGTGGGGGGCGGAGGGGGGCTAGAATCAAAGAATTGGAATAACAACCTTAGGACCTAAGGTGACACTATGTGAGTTTAAGCCTTTGGTAGGTAGATTTACCCAATACTTAGCATGTATACATTGACTAGACCTAGGTGCAAGCTGATTTAGGATGCGTCAAATTTTAGAAATGCGGAGGCTAGAGGATTTCTTGTTTTCTACAATCTTTAGATTAGATAAACTACACGTTAAGTGAAACAAAATTAATTTTTTGTTCTAGAGTTGCAGGCTGTATGATGTTAACTTCTTGATCATGGAATCAGGGGAAAACAGAATCTTTAAGAAGTGACTAACTAGTCTTGTTCGTTTATTATAAATGTTTAAGAAAATAAAATGAGTTTTGAGGAATAGTTTCGCGGAAGTGATAATTGAATATTCTTGTTCATTGTAAATGTTTAAGAAAACAAAATGAGTTTTGAGGAATTGTTTCGCGGAAGTGATAAATATTCTTGTTGACGTGATAGAACCATGTTGTTTCCAGAGGTGCTTATGATAGATGAGATCGTGGTAGATTCACCAATTGTTATGAGAAACTTTAATAATAACAATGGTGTCAGAGTCTGCTTACAAGCACCTCGATTATCCCACTAGGTATTTGCCACCTCCCACCTGCCCCCCAAAACTAAGGCATAACGGAAGATGTCACCTAATGTGTTCTTTTTTCGCTGAGTTATGAGTAATTTTAGAAACTACCTGAATGTTAAGTTCAAACTTCATGTCCAATGGTTAATTTCTTTATATGCTTGCTTTCCCTTCAAGATCATTGGAAGGTGAGGAAATGATTTACTCTTGATTCATGAGAAGCTAATTAACTCTCTTGTTTCACTCTTTTAGAGTAGAAAAGAAATAGAAAGCTAAAAACAATCTTGAGCTTGTTATTCTGTTGCGCTTGCAAATATCAAGCAGATTTGTAACCTTTTATTTGCTAATTTACTGATGTCATGTTGATTAGACAATGAATAGCTAGGATCTTTTCAGTGGGGGGCAGAAAAAAGAATAGGTGATGCCACTGTTAGGCCAATATTGTATTTCTGTAATTAAAGCATGTTATTTTGAAGGTAAAGCATGATAATATCAGACAGCGTTATGTTAATATCTAAGTGGACACTTAGATGAGACAATGGGCATACAAATGTTGAAAGCTAGTGCAAAAGGTTGGGTCTGGTTTCAGAAACCTTGTGCAGAATAGACTGATATAGACTTTATAAAGGTTCAATCGCAGCATGATAGAAATGTAAGAAAACAGATCACTTCACAAAATCAAAATCAATACTGTTTTGCCACCAACACCTTTTCTATTTCCTGTTCTCATGTTCTGATCTTTTTAATTTTCTTTTTTTGAGAAGTCTCATATTCTGAAATTTCATCAATAAATTTGTCAGTGTAAACTGTTCTGTACTTCTAATAGATCATGTTTGACAGATGGAGCAGTTGCTCTGTACTTAATAAGATACAAGGTTGGGAGTGCCTACGAAACATTTAACGCATTATTCCTTGTTATATATGTACTCTAACAAGTAATAATGATATCTCAGTCCTAAACAAGTTGGGGTTGGCTATATGAATCCTCACTGACCATGTTTTTAGTTTCAGCTCAAATCGTATCGTCATACCAATAAATATATATGTGCAAATTGTATAAAATATATCCATATAAATAGAAGTAATAGAAAATAAAAGGTCTCTATATATTTGTAGACGTATAAATCTGTGATAAGGTTAACATACACATATTGAAAAAATAGTTTCAAGATCAACTTATTAACAAAACTAAAACCTATTGTCAAGTAGTATATGTCACCTATTTGGATTTTTTTGTTTCACTGCGCCCAGGTCTTCCACAACAACTTCTTTTCATGTGATTTTAGGTATGCCTCGTCTCCTTTTAACAATTTCACTCGCAGTAGTTTCACACCTATAGAGCGGTGCATTTATAAGTCGATGTGTGACAACTTAACAATCTCTGACCTTCCCTCATTTTATCCTCAATCTGTGTTAGTTGCACCTTCCAGCGATTGTGGCCTTTATAAATCTTATCTGTTCTTGTTTGACCGCACGTCTATCTTAGCATCCGCATCTCTGCGACACTCCCTTGTGGATATGTTGGACTTTATCGGCTCAACATTTACCTTCATATATTGTCGGTC